AATAAATTGAACACACACATATAAAATATCACACTAAATCTATAAGTATGAAAGTATGAAATGTATAATGTTGAAATCAAGCATATTTTAGCCACTACAAGAGAAAGAGAGCTACACCTCTAGGAAACACTTTAGAGGAAAGAAGAAAAAGTTAGAATTAATAAACCAATGTTTGCTCCAAGCATTTAAAGAAACAAATTTGTGATGATAAATTTATTTCTTTGTGCCCGATGAATTGCTGATTTTCATCTGGCACAAGATTAAAACATGACTTGTTTATTGCTTAGGGGCCATACCTCTGAGCACCCGTCCAGGTCTCCAAAGACATCAGCAAAGTCTGATGGACTTTTCTTCAGAGTCTGGTCAGCAGGCAGCGTGTTGTCATTGTATGATGTCACAAACTTAAAGTCACTGGTTCTAGAACCTGTGGTCAGGTACGCATCGTAATTATAAGTGCTGCGTAAAGTTTCCGTCGGCGTCGATGCGGGCTCTCCTGCTGGACAGCGCGCCCGTTTCCATCCCGAGGTCTTTGGCTATATTTCCAATAATGGATCCTCGTTTCAGTTCCTCTGGTAAAGAATAGCTCATGTCTCCATGAGCAACATGCAGCAGAAGGAGGAAACAAATGTTCCAAGCCTGAAACGTGATAGTATTCAATTCCATCTTCAATGATATACCTCTAATATGTTAAAGCAATAACGCAGCAAAGATAGCACACAAGCAGAAATAGGAACTGCAATTCAGCGCGTCTCGTGCTAAACCTAGAGCAGGCAGCGGGCGTGCAAGACAGAAAGTCCACAAAGAAAAGAGGAATTCAGTCTTTTAGGGCTGGTGTATAGCGACACCGTGAGTTCAAAAATGACACTGACCCCACCTTATCCAAGTTAAATGCCTAAATGCACTCAATAGATACTGCAAGATCGGAGTGTTTTATTTTAATACATGTTTAGTGACTATATTATTACTTAATGGAATATGGCATAAATCTATATCTGTAGGGCCTAGAAATACTGATATCACTATATGTTTACGACTGAACGACAAACTGTGGGTTCCCTCTCTTTGTAGCCTTTCGGA